GGTTCAAATCCCGCCACGGCAGATGGTGGAATTTGAATTCAATAAATATCTGGAATTAAAAGTCTGACGATGACCATAAGTCCATTGCCGATTATTGGGAAAAACCCATCTAGGTCACTAATGTCCTTTTAGAGAAGGAAACTGCCATCATTACCTGGTCTGGCCTACATGTGATTCCAGACTCACAGCAATGTGCTTGACTTTTAACTACCCTCTAAGCAATTAGGAATGGGTAATAAATGCTGCCTGGCCAGCGATGCCCTCATCCCGTGAATGAATAAAGGAAAAAAAAATTGAAATACATGGGATAAACCACCTTTTAAGATCAGAATTGAAAAGAATATATATGTAACATAGTTTCGGTGCCTCTGCAACTGTGTCTGACCCAATATATCGTCGTGTGGATGAAATTTATTTTAAAAGTATCCTGTTTAGTAACCAACCAAAATAAACTGCTGTGGCCATTTATGACATAGCTATCCAGAAGCTCATTGCTGTGGTTTTGCGTGAAATTAACGCAGTTGGTTTGCATTACGAAGGAAATGAGAGAAAGAATTTAAAAGGTTAATGTGTTGGAATTGTTGTGGATCAACCTTTTGCCTCTACCTCTTTTCTTGAAGGAGTCATTACCCAATGAGATTGTTTTCTGGACACGACTTGCTCTCTTGTACATCAATGAAATAGCTTATCTTAATGTTATGAGTCTGCACAGTAAGTGTCAGTAGGCGTTCCAAACCTGATCGTGTCCTGTCCACTATTCACATAGGTGTACTTTGAGTAGATATACTGGACAGTATTTTGAAGCAGGAACGCGGGTCATTTTCGTTTCCTTAATCCATGCCTCCTGAACAAATTGTATACCTGGTTTCTTTCCAAAAATGATAACCTAGTATTGCACAGACACAAACTCTCTGAGCTTTCAGGTCTGAGGCTCAACTACTCACTGCTGTAACTAATTGATCAATTGAACTGTAAAATCACACTCTTCAGCCCACAGGATAAATAGCACTGTATTAAAATAGTTAAGCAGTGGTTTCTGGGTATGCAGCAGTGAATAGTTGTACTTGGTCAGGTGTCTCATTATCACTTACTGGTGGAGTACCAGAGGTTGAGTGTTAGTATTATCGATGTTTATCATTTTTATAAATCATTAAAGGATGGAATTCTGTCCAAACTTCTGAGCAATACTGAATTGGGATCAATGAGATGATGATGAACATCAGTACGTAAATTCAAAAGGATTTTAACAAGCATTATTAGTAGAGAATAATCATCCTTAACTAACATGACTATATCAACAGAATGCGTACCATTCTTAATGACAAATTTGTATCTATTTGATCTGTTGCTCAGCGTGACCAGATAACCTGGTATGTGTATGCTGAACTTGTGTTGAGTAGCAAGCTGCCAGGTGATTTCCATGATGGGGTTTGTCCCCATGCTCGCTACCTCAGCATATGCCCAAGGCACACAAAAATGAAGTTCCTTTACACCATAACTTGGAAATAACTGGTTCTGCTCAGTAAGCGCTGGTCAAATGGCTGAATACGTTGGTGCATTTTTTACCCCGGAGCATCGGAGGATGAGGGATGACCTTTATAGAGGTTTATAAAATCTGAAGGACAAGGTCTTTTTCCTAGAGCCGGGGAGAGGTCCAAGACTAGATGGCATAGATTTAAGATGAAAGAAGAAAGATTTAAAAGGAACCAGAGGGGTAACTTTTTCATGCAGAGGGTAGTGCGTATATGGAAGTGATAGAGACTGGTACAGTTACAACATTTAAAAGGCACATGGTTGGGTATATGAATAGGAATGTTTTAGAGGGATATGGGCCAGATGCTGGCAAATGGGGCTGTGTCAGATTGGGATGTCTGGTTGGCATGGACAAGTTGGACTGAAGGGTCTATTTCTATGCTTTATGACTCTAAATGGTTGATTCAATTGCTACAACTTGTTTTTGAGCAAGTTTTCCACTCGGACAGTGAAGGATTCCTTTGCATTTGTGAAGACAATGCCAGATTTGCTTTTCAATATCCTGCATTCACTTGACATTGCCAGCCTTTTACGAATGTACCACTCAGGAATGCCACAGGAACATCTGTGCTGTACCACTATATCATTAGCAATCTAGATCATCACCATTGCATGAATCAGTATTTGTTGAACTTAAGAAAGCAGCTTGCACTTTTGAGTCTAGAAATAACAGCACCATATGTGCTCAAAATTGGGCTCCCTGTGAGACCCAGCTCTCTCAAACATTTGTTGAATCCTGTGTGAAGTGCCTTTAGTAGAACACATGTTCCCCTTGCACAGTTCTGGTATGCAGGTAATACATTTGCTATATTTGAATCTTCAGCTGCATGTAAGACTTTCCTTGAGGGCCTCAATAGCACTGGGACTGGAACAGCCATTTTTAAAAAAATATTCATTCACAGGATGTGGGTGGCACTGGCCAGGCCAGCATTTATTACCCGTCCTTGATTGTATTAAGTGTCAACCATGTTGCTGTGGGTCTGGAGTTACATGCAGGCCAGACCAGGTAAGGATGGCAGTTTCCTTCCCTAAAGGACCTTAGTGAACCAGATAGTTTTTCCTTGACAATTGACAATGGATTCATGGTCATCATTATACTTCTAATTCCAAATATTTACTGAATTCAGATTCCACCATCCGCCATGGCAGTCTTCGAACCCAGGTCCCCAGGGTCTCCGGATTAATAGTCTAGCGATTTAATTACCACTAGACCATCACATCCCAATGATTTCCCTTTCCTCAAAGACCCAGTTGAGAAATATGCCAGAGTGTCTCTTCTACTGTTTACTATAAACTTTTGTTCACTGGTCAGAGTATATTTTGGGATTCCAACAGTTCCATGTAACATATGATTGATCTCATAGGAAACCTCATAAATAGACATTTTTGTCACAATGCAAGCTTGATGCTGAAATGGGGCGCATCAAAGCCATCCTTCAGGACAATGGCTACCCCGATCAGATCATTTCTCACTGAAACTCATGAAAGGCTGTAAGACCTGTGGGTCATAAGAAGTGCAGACTCTACCTTGGGTTACCCTGGAAGGGCAAGGTATCTGAATAGTTTTAGTAACAGATGAAGGTAGAATAATGTTGCTACTATGCAGTTGCAAACAGGAATGGTGTTGGCACTGACAGAATGTTGCCATCATGCCAGAAAAGACTTTCTGCCTTTCCCAAAAGTGAGCACAATGGTAAATGAATTTTAATGCTGGCGTGACGTCAGGTATTTTAGCTGTATGTTCCAAGGAATTGTGGATTATATGAAACAGCAGATTCCTTCGGCTTTTCACACAAGGTATTGACTGTATCCAACCGTCTTGCCCTTGCAACACTTGCATCACAGTTTCCAAATTTAGACATTGTTCAGTAATTGGACAATGTTTACTGGATGATCCTATGTGTGAAGAATTACACTTAACCAATTTAGGATTGTCAGTCAGCCTTACGGTCAGGTGTATTTGCATATACTGGAAGCTACACACATTAATGCACAGAGCCTTATTCCTTGCAGTGCGTTTGCATGTATTATGTCTGTTTCAACTCATCAAAATAGGTGACAGCCAGTCACTGGTTTATTTCTCAATGAAATACCCTGATCAATCGGAGTCAACCTGTCTGGTGTGAATTTTAAACGAGACCCTGCAGTTAATTGTCCATTAATATTAACTGCTACATTCTGTATGGTAATACCTCTACCAGTCAATGTTCACTTTCCAACAGTTTTGCACTCTTATCTCATTCCGTTTTAATGTTGTTTTTCCTCTTTATCGGTATTATTGTGAATTTTCCTGACGAGTGCATGACGAAAAGGTTCAACAAAATGTAACTTTTTTCAGCATTACTCTAGTACAGAAGTGACAGATCCAATTTAATACAGTGATTGGAAGGTTATATGTTCAGAGAATCTTAAAGGGGTTAAATGGAAATCTTGCATTATCAGCACATGCGATCTTGGGACTATAAGCACAATGTTCATTTGCTGCTATTGTTTAAAAATTTAGCTGAGACTGTATTCAAGAAGTAGAATATCAGACCAGACAGAAAATTTTTGGTCCTAGTGAGATCATGTCTGGAGTATGCATGCAGTTTTGTTCTACCTATTTAAAATAAGTTGCATAATTGTTAGAGAGAATACAGAGCAGCATTTATGAATTTCAGAATTTATGGAAATTAAATGTATGAAGAAATATTGGCTACCCAATAGGGCTTACTTTAAAGCCAAGCTAAATTAAAAGTGATGCTCTAATTTCTGTTGGCTAAATGATCCCATTTCTTCACTACTGCTGTTCTGTAGCACATAGTCTTGAACATGTTTGCTGGGGATATTTGCCTATGAATTTTATTGGGGTTATTCAGGCCAGGGAAGCGAGAAAGTCCCTTTTTTGAGTTATTATTTGAGCAAACCTGCTTTAAATTAATCCCTTTTCGGATTTTCTGATGCACAACCAAAACAAAACTACAGGAATGACTTTGCAGTCTTTTCTGCTGAGATCATATGTCATTACTGATTTGTAACCTAGAAATGTTGTGCACTTCACTCTTTGCAAGGCACATTGGGTGGAGAAGAGCAATTTCTGCTGTTAGAATATTCTGTTTTATATTATTTGCTGCATATTCCAAAACCATTCCCGATATACTTTTTTATGATTTAACAAATTTGTGGCATCATTATTCTAAGGCTACCTTTTATTGAAAAAGGATGAATTGTAAGGATGCACATACGTTGATTAGCACGCAAAATGTCATTACATTGAAGGCTCTGGGCCAAGTGCTCCAAAGTGGAATTAGGTAGGTTGACGCAGACCTGATGGGCTGAGGTGCTTCTCCTGTGCTGTATGACTCTGAGAAGGTTGTTAAATTAATTTGCCATGAAGTGTGGTTAGGTATATTTGGATATTTGAAAGTGCATTCCCTTTACAATTCAAAACGTTGATCACGTTTGTCTGCTTTTTGCTTGCTGGACAGTTGAAGAAATTGAAGCAGAACAAGATGGCACAGAATTTCAAACACGTGGCAAAATTGGAGCCAAGAAGCAGCGGAAATTGGAAGAAAAAGAACAAAGGAAGGCACAAAGGGAGGTTAGAAACAGCTTTATGTCAAAAAAGAAAGGGCAAAAAATGTAACTGCTTTTGTTTTTAATGTTATTGGATAAATAACATTGATTATGGCACAGGGGTCTATTCAGCTAATTATGTGTATTTTGGAGCTGTGCAAAAGCAACTTGTCTAATTTCACTCCCTCAACTTATTCCTGCAGTATTTTTTTCACCAGAAATTTCTTCAATTCTCTATTTGAACCTACCTCCTTGTTCACACTGCTAGGCAGTGATTTCTAGATCCTTGCCACTTCCAACTTTTAAAAAAAAAAAATTCTTCTTCTGTCACCTGCTTCTTGATTTACCAATCATCTTGAATTTGGGTTCTTGGATTAGGATCCTACCAACAAACATAGCATTTCTCTCTCTCCTATTAGCAGCAGTTTACTTTAGTGTGAATCCATATTTCTGACTTGTGATAGGTAAGCCTGTGGTACTTGTATAAATGTAGCTCGGATGGTTCAAAAAGCAGCTCTGCAGTGATCCAAATTACAAGATAATTACAAGATGCCTACAAAATGCCTTTCTTATTTTCCATGGTATCTCAAAATTCTTGTAGATGTTTTAATTTGCTGTTTAGAGTTCTCCTCGATCGCTTATGGGTTTCAGTGGAAAGAAATAGGATTGTAACCCTTATCTCATTCATTTGGTTTAAGCAAGTATTTGAGGGCTTTTAAAAAAAAATCGGAAGATTAATCAAAAGATGGGATATTAGACAATGGTTAACAATCCTTTGGAAGAACAAGTGTAATTGTTGCATCGGTTCTGATTGGGTATGAGGAAGGATATTGCAAAATTATTTGACAGTGATGAAAGGTCAGTTTGATAAAATAGTTTAAATATTATGTAAAAATAAACTATTTCAATATAACTGCCTTTATGTGACACAAATAAGGAAATGAGACTGCACATGATAGGATGACTGATGTGTTAACTGTTAATTATTTGCCCACAAACTAAATAGTCTTCTCAAAGTTTGAATTTTCAAGCAAAAATGTAAAAAAAAAACCTGAGTTGGAATTTTGTGTTTTCATGTCTCAGAGGTCACTTTTACATAAATTATATTAAAATAAAAGAATAAGAATGCATGCCTGGTTCATCAACATCAGTAAAAAAGGACAAATTAATGTCTTGAATTGAGATTCTTTATTAGAATATTTTTACCTTTTTGCTAGCCTGCCAAAATATTTTCAAATTCCCATTTGCCTCCTAAAACCTTAAGACATAGGAGCAAAATAGACCACTTGGCCTATTAAGTCTGCTCCAGCATTCATCTTGGCTGATCTGATAATAATTAAATTCCCTTTCATGCTTTATTCCCACAATCTGTGATTCCCTTGCTTATTAAAAATATGTCCATCTCGGCCTTCAATATACTTGGTGAGGTTAGGGGGATTGGCCATGCTAAATTACCCTGTAGTGTCCAGGGATGTGCAGGTTAGATGGATTGGCCATGGTGAAAGCAGGATTATAGGCTTGGGGGGTGGGCTTGGGTGGGGTGCTCTTTGGAGATTCTGTGTAGATTTGATGAGCTGAATGGCCTGCTTACACACTGTAAGGATTCTATGATATCCCCTAGTTCTATGAAACAGCCTTGACCCCGTTCTGTGGTAAATAATACTACAGATTCACTCCCTCAGGGAAGAATTTCCTCCTCATCTCTGTCTTAAATCAGTGACCCCTTACTCTGGGATTAAACCTCTTTTCCTCAGCTCTCCCACAAGGAGAAACATCTACTTTGTCAAGCCCCCTAAGAATCTTAATAAGATCACCGCTCATTCATCTAAATGAACGTAACTCACCAAGCTCCTTAGACACTACCTTCCAAACCCACGACCATTTCCATCTAGGAGGACATGGGCAGCAGATACATGGGAACATCATCATCTCCAAGCCACATATCATTCTGACTTGGAAATGTTTCGCTGTTCCTTCACTGTCACTGGGTCAAAAACATGGAATTCCCTCTCTAATGGCATTGTGGGTCTCCTTGCAGCACATGAACTGCACCAATTTAATAAGTTAGCTCACCACCACCTTGTCAAAGGCAAATAGAGACAGGCAATAAATGCTGCCCATCCAGCATTGCCCATGTCCCACAAGTGAAGGGAAAAAAAAAGTCCAACCTGTTCAATCTCACTTCATGCAAAAATCTCTCCATGCCCAGATTAATTTAGTGAAATTTCTGACTGTACTCAGTTAGTCCCAATGCTAGTGTATCTCGATGGATTAGATAAGGGTATGAAAACTGTTTTATAGTATTTCAGTTGTGGTCTAATTAGTGCCTTGAAGGAGCTGGTCATTGTCTTGAGTAAGCGGAGTGGAGGACATGCCCCTGTCTGCATCAGTGGTGCTGAGGCAGAGATGGTTGAGAGTGTCAAGTCCCTGGCAGTGATGTTCACCAACAATCTGTCCTGGTTCACCCACGTTGACATGATGGTCAAGAGAGTACAACAAACAATGCCTCTACTTGCACAGGAGGCTAAGGAAATTTGGCACGTCCACAAAATCTCATGCCAATTATTACAGAAAGGATCCTGTCTAAATGCATCAGTGTGGTATGGCAACTGCTGTTCCCAAGACCGCAAGAAACTACAGTCATGAACAGAGCCCAGTCCATCATGTGAACCAGCCTTTCATTTATATTCCCTTTCCCGCCCCCCCCCCCCACTGCCTCAGGAAAGCAACCAACACAATCAAAGACCCCTCCCACCCTGGTTATACTTTCTTCACCCTCTTTCGTCGGGCAGAAGATGTAATACAAGTACGGACACATTCAGGGACAGCTTCTTCCCTGCTGTTATCAGACTTATGAATGGACCTCTCAAATGTTAATGTTGATCTCTCTCTTTACACCACCTCTGTGGCTCTAGCACTGTATTCTGCACCTTGTTCTGCTACGTGATGCACTTTGTATGGTACGATCTGTCTGTACAGCACACAAAACAGTAGTATTCTTGGTACATGTGACAACGATATATTAAATTAAATCAAATCAAATTTCCTATTTTTATATTCCAATCCCTTTGAAATAAAAACAAACGTTCCATTTGGTTTCCCTATCATCCATTGAAGTTGGATGCTAGCTTTTCATGATTCATGCACAAGGGCCCACAAATCCCTATGCTACAGGTTTTGCAGTCTCTGTCCATTTAAATAATAATCAGCTGTTCTATTCTTCCTAACAAAATGCATTACCTTACATTTCCCAAATTAAATTTTGAAATCTGGCAAATTTTTGCCCACTTGCTTAACCTGTGAACCAGGGATTTCAGCAGACTGTTCAAAGTGAGCTTACCCTTGCAAATTAATAAAGCCGATCTCATAATGTTATAATGTCTGTAAATATGAGTGACATTGTTTCCAAATATACATTTAAAAACTTTGTGCTAGATTAATCAGTAAGAACTTTTAGTGCGTAGCTCAGCCAGGGTGAGCTCTGAAGCTGTTTCTGGTCTGATCATCTTATACTTCCTTTCATATAAAGGCTGAAGAAGCAGAACGAGAGGAGAGACGAAAATTGCAAATGAAGAGAGATGAAGACCGGAAGAAAGATGAGGAACGAGTACGACTTGAAGAACAGCGAAAAGTACGACCACTTTTGCCTGTTAATATTTTCCATTAAGTTCAGCTGATGGTGGCCATTTCATGATAGATCACAAGTCTAAATATAACTCAATGAATAATAAATGTTTTTATAATGGACAACAAAAAAATCTGGTGTTTGGAACCTGCAGTCTATAGTGCTGAGAGGCAAAAGCACCAGCTGCACAACCACATATGTTAAAGGCGACTCATTTGGCTCATCAGTATGGTGGAATAAAAATTTGTAATGCTCAATGAAACTGCCTCCTTTTGGGAAGGGCCAATTACCAGTGTACTGTAATACTCCTTCATTGGAGAGCTGAAAAGCAGGATTGCTAGGTCACATTTGTTTCTACAATAACTGAAAACTTTGTATTCGTATGGCAACTTTTAATTTAATGAAATTTCGAAAGCCACTTCTGAAGTTTTACAAAACAAATTATGATGCTGATCCACAACTTGTTGTCACATCTTATGACAAAGATTTGATCAAAGAGGTCGGTTTAAGAAATTTCTTAATGTTGCTTAATGGAGTCAATTTAGGTCATGGACGTAGGGGTGATGAGTGAAATGCTTTTGCTGCTATTTAAGGCACAAACAATTAAAGAATTGGTTGAGGGATAGTAGGAACTGCAGATGCTGGAGAATCTGAGATATACAAGGTGTAGAGCTGGATGAACACAGCAGGCCGAGCAGGAAGGCTGACGTTTTGGGCCTAGACCCTACTTCAGACCCTTTTTCTGAAGAAGGGTCTAGGCCCGAAACGTCAGCCTTCCTGCTCCGCTGCTGCTTGGCCTGCTGTGTTCATCCAGCTCTACACCTTGTATATATCAAAGATTTGGTTGACTTCAGCTTCACAGAGGGTTGAATGTAGAGACCAGCCAGGGCTTTGTGTAGTAGTCGGGTCTAGAGGGAACAAAGGCGTGAATGAGTATTTCAGCAGCAGGTGTGCTGAACTATGCCAAAATGGTGCAAATTTATAGAAGTGGAAATAAATGCATGTGACAGCATGAATATGTGGATTGAAGCTCATCTTGGGGTCACATATCACACTAAGGTTGCAAACAGTCTGGTTTTGACTCAGACACTTTTGTCAGAACAAGGGACTGATTCGGTAGTTAGCTAACAGAAATTTGCGTGGTGACTGAAAACAGTGGCTTCATCCTTCCTAATACTTGGAAGAATTTGTCGTGCCTTTTGGATGATGTCCTCAAGAAAAAGTATCTAGATGAGAACCTGGAAGCCAAGGATCAATCCTTGAGACCAGCAAAAGTACAGGAAGAGAGCTATTGCAAGTGATTGACCGGTTACGATTTGATATGTAAGAATGGAACCAGCTGAGAATAGTTGCGCCCAGGTAGACAACTGCAGAGAGGCACCAAAGAAGGATGATGTGGTCAGTATTGTCAAAGGCTATAGGCATGTTAAAAAGGACAAGATGGGAACGTTGAACTTTGCTTCCTTCACACAATGTTTGTTTCCCCCATGTAGGTGCAGAGATGAATAATCTAGCGAGGCCTCTGACCTTTCTTTAAAAAAAACGAGGAAGTTTAAGACCTGAGGGGAAAATATCCTAATTTTGTAGGAAAGAGAAGCCTTGCAGAGCAGTGTGTTAGGGTATAGACTATCTGTACCCGACAATGAAATGAAACCAGATAAACTTGGTAATAAAATGTTCAATGAAGGGTCATCAACATTGTGGGGAGTTACAGGTTAATTACATTAAATGCAAGTAACATTTGTGCCACAGAAATCCCGAGTAATGACCGTTTTTAACGCGAGAATCTAACCATCGCCCCTTGGTAACAGCAATGGCAAACACAGCTCGGTTGATCCTGCAAAATCCTTTCTACTAACATCTAGGGGATATATCTAGCAACTTAAGAATCCATGGAGTTATGTGGACCACCAACAACAGCAGGATGGCTGGTCCAGTTCAATTTCTGGTCAGTGGTAAATCCAGGATATTGATGGTGGGGTATTCTGCAGTGGTGGTGCCACGGAATATCAAGGGACGATGGTTAGATTCTCTTTCTTTAAAAATTGACGTTGCCAGGGACTTGTGTGGCACAAATGTTTAGTTGCATTTGATGTAATTAACCTATAACTCCCTACAATGTTGATGATAATACTTCATTACTTTTTATTACCAAGTTCTGATGAACATTCATTGACCTGAAATGTTTCTTCACAAGTTCTGCCAGACCTGTTCAGCATTTTCTATTTCTCATATTTCTAGCATCCACAATGTTTTTATTTCGCCCCCTGATTTTAATGAAAGGGTAGAATGGTGTTGAAATGGAGTTGGTATTCTGCCCTGTAAGAGAGGGAATGAACTTTCTCAGGTTCCAACTTGCAGCGCTGTCACACGTAGAAGCTGCTTTGCAGTACTGACTTAACAAAAGCCAATTCGCATTTTGGGAAATGGCATAGGTATAAGGGAAACTTAGAATAGAGAAAGTTAGGAGGAGATGAAATGAATGGTATCAGTAGTGAAACTATCTTTAGTGAAGCATATTTTTGACATGGAGTGAACCTTTGAAATGATTTCTCAATTGATCCAGTTTTCAAATGTGTATTTATGTGGATGCAAATAACGCAAATGGTCAGATGAAGAAAGTACAAAATAGCGCACTAGGATTTTCATTTAGAAGAGGAAAAACTCATGAGTCTCAAATTGCCATTTTTGATTTGTCTGGCATCTTTTTGGGATATCCCAGAATCTCTGTGCATGCGTATAAACTAAGGCATGCACATGTGTTCACACTTTCATACCGACTTGCTGTTTGGAACTCATTTATTCTATTTATTGTATGCCATGCAAAAGGTGTTTGATTATTCTTTTGATTTGGCACATGTTTGTATCAGAAATGTTTAAAATGTAAATTAAGCTGATCTTGTTGAAGGAATTGTTGTGTTGCAGATTTCCCACATATCCTTAAATGCATTGGAATATGCAAACATTTGCTGGACTTTTATTTATGCAGTAACTATTCAAACACTAATTAATTTTGAAAATAATGTTAATGTTGTAGTTGCAGTGTTTTCATGCTTGTTTAAAGAAATGAGTCTACATAATGTTTTGGAGAATATTTTAAAACAGATTTTTAACTCTGATCAATTTGTTTATATTGAAACTGCAGAGAAGTATAATAGAAGATTTTCTTTTTGCACTGCTGTTGCAAGACGTTTTGTTCTTGTGCGTCTGTTAGTGGAGGCGGTCAATACCCACAGTTTTGCAACTGCCATTAGTGGTATGATTCTGAGTAGGTGGTGCGCTGAGCACCTAGGCTCTAATACATAGCTCAGCAATAATGTTTCCAAGTACTCTAATGACCTAACATCAAACCACTCACTGTGGAAGATATGTTATAACTATGGTATGTTGAAGAAAACTTGTTCATTCGTCTTGTAAGACAATCTTTTAAATGTTTGGAAATGTACTTCATAAAAATTATTAAAGCACAAGTTTGCATAAATATGCTCTAAATTAAGCATATAATCTAGACTGACATCACACTGAGGGAGCCTTCTGAACAAGTCAAACAGAGCTCTTGTTTGCTCCCTCAAGTGGAATTAGTCCCATGGTGCTATTCATATTATATTTGCTGTTGACCTGCATTAGTACCCAAATGATCATACTAATTTCAGTGCTCTATATGGCACTTGTTATGGCAAACTGGATGCTGTGTTCCCTATGTAACAATGTTGGAACTTTATACAGATTTAATTGGTCATAAACTGTTTTGGGAGCTCTTGAGGATATGAAAGACTCCGTTTAATGCGATGTTGTTAGTATTTATAGTATAAAATGGAATTATTGTTGAATATATATATAAATTTGAACATTTCTTTAGATTTTTAATTAAACTTTTCCCACAAATTTAGGTTCTAACACTTATTCTGCCATCATTTTGAAATTAATTTTATTGTTGCAATCTAAGTAATAGCTAGAGGGGAAATCACTCCCCTGGAGTATCAGAGTTAACATTTTGAATCTGATATGCCTCTTCCTCAGAATTAATATTACTTGTATTTAAAGAGTTTTGATATTCCTGTTAATCATAGGGTAATTTGATACAGAAGTAACATTAAGTAAAACACTCATTTCCTGTGTAGGTGATCATAACATTCTGCCTGTAATCAGAATCTTTTTTAAAAATAGCACATGGTTTTTTCCTCCTTGTATTGAAACGCAAGAGCATCACTTGCCAGTTACAGAGGCAGTTGCCTGTGGTAATGACTGGCAGCAATTTCAGTGATCTTCAGCTTTAGTTATGTAGCATAGAAAGCTGCCAATATCACCTCCTCTGTTGTCAGAAACTGTTTCATTTTCTCTACCCAAAGATACTCTAGTATATTTTTCATTCATTTCCTGATGTTTCCCTTCTTAAAATAGCAATTCATACTTTGTAAAACAGAATCTTCTAAATTACAGTTAGAATACAGCTTCACTTGAGATTGTAGCTGTTCACAACAATGGGAAATTTGAAATACAAAAGTGCTGTGTGACAAAGTTACCTATGCACAGGGCTGTTCAACAAAGTAGATAGAATTTCTGCATTGGACACATTTGGGGAAATTGCACTGGTTAAGTTAGAGTTTGTCACATGCATATCTGTTTTAAGATTTCCAAATGTGTCAGCACAATCAGGCAATAAAATGTTCTGTATTTGCGAAACATCCGTTCTGTCTCTAAGAACAACCCTGACCTTGCAGTTGCCTGCCGTTTCAATTCACATTTCTGCACTCAATCTAACATCCATCCTAGGTCTGATGCAATGCTCCAAGCTGGGGGAATCACATTTCATTTTGTGCTTGCGTGCTTTACAGGCTTCAGTGTTGGAACTCAACAACTTAAGAGCGTGAACGTCATCCTCCATTTCGACTACACCCCATCCCATTGTCTTGATAGCATTGGCTTGCTTTGTTCCTTGTTCATGACTATCATTTACGCCTGTTAGCCTACTCCTCATGTTCTTAACGAGAATATTCAGCCTGAGTAACCATATTTTGAAAATCTAGATTTGTACACCAATAAAATCATTTGAGTATAGCTTTCTGAAGCCACTAACAAAGTACTTTTTTGATGTGAGAGAATCTTTAAAACATGTCTACTAGTATCTCTATGCCTGAGACAATGAGAGTAATTTGAAGAGCCATCCCAAACCACAGCGATCGGCAAAATTTCTCCATTTCAACTTGGGGTTGTGACCATTTTTCTGGGCAGCACTTGATCAGGGAAACTCTTTTCTTGTGCAAGAGCAAAACTGGAATACAAGGAATTTGATTTTAACTAATTTGTGTTTGATTTCCTGATCTTTTTGTGCTGGTTTGGCTGATTTCTGTCCAGATTGCACAGATATTGCTGATGTCAACTTGACCCTAATGTGGTTCAGAATGAGAACTTAATATTCCATGTTATAAACCGTTAATGCATATATTCAGAGTTGTGTTGGTTAATTGAACTGTTCACAAGCCCACACAGAATTCTAGTTTGTTCAATCTATTACAGCATTATAAAAGTCTGGTGCTGTCACAAACTTGGTGATTGTTGAGAGCGCGAAAGTACCTCTGTGCTGCATTAAGAATGCAAACGCCTGCTTTATGCCCTGAAGAAATTGCATAGCCAGTTAAATAGCATGATTATCTTGTGATATCTGGTGCTGCCTTGAGAAAAAAATAGTGTGATTAGGCCTAAACCTTTCACATTAAGGACCAGTCGTGTGACCCTGCATGTTTTGGATGTTCCTGTTGTCTTTTGGTTGTCAGGATTGAAGGCAACATCAGTAAGCTGCCTATCCAGAACACTTGCACAGAGCTGAAACAGACTTGCCTGCTGTTTCTTAGATTATTTTCAACATTTCCCCCAGTTTATTTTCAATAATATTATACTAAATTATGATATTAAAACAAGACAGGCTTTTAAATAGCATCTTTCAAGATCACCAAACATTTAAGCACTTAAGAGCCAATGATGTGCTCTTGAAAATGCCTCAGCCAATTTGTGAGTTCCTAAAGGTCATGACTAGATGATCTGTTTTTGAGATGTTTATTGAGAGATAAATATTGACCAGGAACCAGGGAGAATTCCCCTGTTCTTCATGGTTTGAATATGGGAGTTGGGAATACATGTTGAGGTTGTCACGGACATTGGTGAGGCCTCTTTGGGAATACCGTGTCCAGTTCTGGTTGCCCAGTTATAGGAAAGCTATTAGTTAGCTGGAGTGGGTTCATCCTAGGTCTGATGCAATGTTCCAAGCTGGAGGAATCACATTTCATTTTGCGCTTGCGTGCTTTACAGGCTTCTTTGTTGGAACTCAACAACTTAAGAGCATGAACCCTGGAGAGGGTTGCCAGTCATGGAAGGTTTGAGTTATAAAGAAAGGCTGGGACTTTTTTTTTTTAACTGGAGCGTAAGAGGTTGAGAGGTGACCTTAGAAGTTTATAAAATCATGAGGGGTAGGGATAGGGTTAATTGTAGGTGTTTCTTTTTAACCTAGAATGGTGGATTTCAAGACTAAGGGATATATTTTGAGGTGAGAGGAGAGAGATTTCTCAAAGATGCCTTTTAGAGGCTGGTACAATTGCAACATTCAAAAGGCATCTGGATGGGTATGTGAGTAGGAAGATTTAGAGCGAGATGGGCTAAATGCTGGCAAATGGGACAAGGTTGATTTAGGACATCCTGTTGGCATGGATGAGTTGGACTGAAGCGTCTGTTCCTTGCTGTATATCTGATTCTCTTATTGATAAATCAATTGTACTGCATTTTTGTTTTGCTTGATACTTTTGAAAAAAAAATTAGTGATCATGTGTTTACACTTTTAATAATTGCCTTCTACAATGAATTTTAAATAAGATATTTCCATATTATTTCATTGGACAAGTGAAAACGATTGCTTTTCAAGATTCCTTTCTTCTTTCAGTGTCCAAGTTTTAAATAGTTCAGATTAATCAAAATACTGCCTTTCTATCTCCACACTCGGCTGATAGATCTCTTGCCTGAATTTTGTGGGTTCAAGGTCCACTTGAAAATTTGAGCACAAGACTAAGGCTGACACAACAGTAGCAATACACTGTTGGAGATGTCTGCTTTAGGATGAAACAGTGAACCAAGATGCCATTAATGCCCTCAAGTGAATAAGGGATCCCACAGCACTATTTAAAGAAGAGCAGGGGAAATTATTGTCCTGGCTGAAATTAATCCCTCAACTTGCATCACAAAAACAGATTATCTGCTTGATTTTGGCTTTCATGTTTCACATTACAAAAGTATCCATACATCGAAGATCCTTCATTGGCTGCAAAGCATTTTAAAACATCTATTCGTCACAAAGGTGCTATACAATGCAAGTCTTTTTTTCTATTCCAATCGTCCTCAATTTAAAAAAATACTGTTCGACTCAACATAGGAAGGTTTACTATTCTGATGAAGAGTTACAACTATATAGAATTTAAACAGGTGTGGCTAACTGAATAGAAGTTACAATATCAACAGTACACCTTCATATTCTTCCAGAGATACATTATTCAGAAAACACATGCATTTTCCAGTTGTTTTCTATCTGCTATTCAAAATGCAGTTTTTAGTTTTGTTTAGTGCAATGTATTCTAGAGATGCATCATCAACAACTGAGGTATGGAACTTGAAGCATTCAACAGTAAATTTTCTGCCTCCAAAAAAAAAATGTTTTAAAAAGTGTCTGGCATCTTGACGTGTAAACTGCACTGCTTGGGGTCGGGGGGGTTGTTGAAAGGGACTTCCCAATACTAATTAGGAAATACTGTTATGCAAATTGTAGAGGTTGCTTCCTATATAAGAGAGGCATGACTTCATAAACACATAACTGAATACTATGCACCTGCACAGTGACCTGGTTATGTTTTTGTCAGCTGCACGACTCCATGCCATGTGCCAGTAATTAATGACAAAATTTTTTTAAAAATTGAATTTCATTTTAGAAATAGTGTTTATTTTAAAATATGTAATGTCTGTTTTGAAACCATTTTCTCTTTCCCTTTCTTGCAATAACAAAGGAAGAAGAATTGAAAAAAGCTTGGGAAGAAAAACAGCGACGAGAGCATGAAGAATACCTCAAGTTGAAAGAAGCATTTACCGTTGAAGAGGAAGGAATTGAGGTAGAACCAGATGAAGAGGAGGTAAATATTTACTTAAAATCATTAAGAAGTTTATTTAACACTGCCCACCAATCAACAGCCCCTGACAGCAATTCGAGCTTATTATCTGTGTTTTAGAATTTTCAGAAAGGCTTTTTAAAATTTTTCTTTTTGTCCTGAGATGAATTTTTTTTATTTGCTAGGAAAAGAAAAGTGCAGGCCCGTTTAAAATGTTGGCATTACCACGTCAAATAGAAGTTCAGCCATGAAGCATATATGCATTTATTTTATAGAATTATGAAAATGTCTTCTAAAGTTAGTACAAAAGTTGGAGCATTTGCAAAACAGACATGTCGATCATTTAACTTTAAGTAGTGACTTTGACAAATTTAAATAATGTTTATGAAATTTATTCATACTCTCAGCATTTTGTTGTGGGATATCTCAGATTATTTTTTCTCTTTCTATACCTTTCCCTCCATGTGTTGTAGGTACGGAATTTCTAGTTTAATCATTTTAGCAACAAGTGTACTGCTTGATCTAAGTGTTTGATATTAAATGTTGTTTTAAATGCAACAGTTGCACAGGTTTTTTGTAGTTACGTTGTTTATTATTTGTATATTGATTTATGATAATATTTTTTGTCCTGATAGTCAAAGGGGCTTCAAATGAGATACACAATATAATTGAGTTGCTCTCTCTTCTGAGAAAAAGAAAATTTAAGCAATAAACTTGGACAAAAGTATGGCTGTACAGGCTTTTCCTGGTTTGCTGTGAATTAATAGCACTGCCTTGTTTTAATTGTTTGTACTTGTTCTCAATTTACCTTAAATTATGTTAATTATGTTAAAGATGAAGGTCTAAGCGATTGTTAATGCACTTTACTTGCATTTTACTAATCACTTGATTAGTGAAATGCAATTTTATATGAAAAATGGTATGATGGCTTAAAATAATAATGTACTGTACATTCATTGTTCAAGCATTGTAAGTTTAAAAATAATTTTGCCAAATTTCAGTTTTAAAACTGAGTTTGAGTCAAAATAAATGTATCTTTATTTTAACACTAAACGTTTTGAGCTTGCATATGCTACCTCCAATTTAGATCTAATACACATGTGGCTGATATGTTCTCCACTGGAAATGCCTGCTTCATATTGTTTTTCACTTCGGAATAAAAGGCTTGTATAATAAGGGGCCATTTTGTATTTGCATGGGGTTTATCATTTTTCTTTTCATTTCCCTGCTAAATGTTTCCTGAGTTTAAAAGATACTGTTTCCCTATCCCAGTGAAAGAAAGTTCAATGAAATGAAAGTGAAACTTCTGCTATTGTTAAAACAGGACTTCCAGTTTTCAGAATTGATACAATATAATACAGAGCTGGAGAAACTGTGACTAGCTTTGTTACACATGATTGTAATCTATACTGAAACTTTTAAAAAATTCTTCATTCAGTGTCTGTTTCATTTGTTTTTGTTTTCAGTCGCAGAACCTTCTGCAGGAGTTCATCAACTACATAAAGGTAATAGTAATTTTGGAACAGTTTTTTTCATAGGTTTGAGGAAAATTATTGCTTCTAAATGTTTTAAAGTGTAGTGTATTAATCTAACTTTAAAACAAATGAGATCGGAGACAATAGGCATATTTAATATCTTGTATAACATCTTTCTTGTTCTTTCTCTGTGAACTGTAAATGCGCTACTTGTTATCCTTTATCCCCTGTTCAATAACATTGCACTCATTGTACTAGAAAACCTTTTTGTAGTTGTAAACAAGGGGGAGAGAAAGACCGGACAGAAACAGACAGTTAAGTTTTTGAGGTCCCAAAAAAGGGTTGAGGGAAGCACAAAATGCAAGAGGGTAGAAATTGTTTCAAGTCTAGATATACAAATTATTTTTGTATTATTGCAGAACAGCATTTATTCAAGTTTCCTCATTTTTAATTAGCTATGAAATAGAGCAGCTTAACAGTATATATTAAGTTTCGTTGCATTTTGTTTTGATACTTCAGGACAGCATGTGCAAAAAAATACAAATATGCAATTTCATCACAAAAGGATGCTGTTATTGCATGCCATGCTCTTGTATGACTAGGTATAGGACCACATAAATAACTCCAATCTAAATCTGCTTAAATTAAATTGTTGTGAGTGGTGTAATGAGCTAGGAGAATGAGATTGATTGGGACTGATTGCATTGTTCTGTGGGGAGCTGGCATAATCGTTGTGGTCAAATGGCCTTTTATTAGATGGTAGTATGTGACAAGTGGGGTCCACAGGGGCCTCTGCTGGGCCCATAATTTTTTACATCTTTATCAATAACTTAGATGAAGGGACTGAGGGTGGGTAAATTTGCAGATGACACAAAGATAGGTAGGAGAGTTTGTTGTGAAAATGCCATAACAAAGATGCAGGTATAACACACTGTGGAGCAGGAGGAACACAGCAGGCCAGGCAGCATCAGAGGAGCAGGAAAGCTGACGTTTCGGGTTGGGACCCTTCTTCAGAAATGGT